CGCCCCCCCCCCCGGCTTCCCCCTTTGCCGCTCTTGTTGATGCGGCTGGGCGGCAGTTCGCCCTCCCTGCTTGGGGCGGGTCTGCTGTTGGCGCAGTACACGCCCCGGTCCCTGTGGCTAGTCCCGCCCTAGTCCGTCCCCACACATCCGGGAGGGAGACGGTCTTCCCCCCGAGAGGAGGCCTGATGGCCGGAGGGACTTTACCATCCCTCCGGTCCTTGTCAACCTCCTCCCTGAGGCGCCTCCCTCTTTCTTTCTCGTCGCTCCCATGGTGAGGAGAGGCGGCTCGGGGATTGTGACTCCCGTCGTCCAACTCCACCTCCATAGATACATCTCCCCCTGGGGGGTGGAGATAGGGAGCGGAATCACCCCACCCCTCCTTTTATTTCGGTGGGCAACCTCCTCCTCAGAGGAGGAGCCCGATATCACCGCCCCCGTCGACCTTTTGCGGCCGGTGGGCACACGGCAGGAGGCGCAGCTGCCTCCCTTACTTAGGCAGGGAGACTCCACAAAACCCTCGGCCTCCTCCAGCTTCACTATTCTGGCCCTGAGGAGGCGGTTTTGCGAGCTGAGCTCGTCAAGCTCCCGCCTCAACAGGGCCTCGGTCTTCCTTGCCGCGGAGTCAGGCACGGCCCCCGGCTGTCCAGCAACATTTTAAGCCCTTACGGCGAGCGTGGTGCCACAGGCCGAGAGTTCCTCGGCCACTCTCCACAGCTCGCCCAGGAGGAAGCCCTTAATGTTGCCGGACTTCTGAGCCACCTTCATTACGGTGTCCACCGACTAATATAGTCTGGTGGACACCTCTACTGTTTCCATGGTCCTATGGTCGCGGACCATCCTCTCCGCGGTCCTCTGGGCCCTGTCAACTCTGGGGCCGTAAAGCCTCCTGGCCTCATCAGCGACGTAATCCACCACCTTGGCCAGTTTCCTGTCCATAATGGCCCCCTTCTTTAAGGCCATTTGGTCGGTTTGTCCATTTGGAGGTTGGGGGCTGACAGGTCCTCGACCATTGCAACCGACCCACCGGTCGCGGTCTCCGGAGAGGCCGGTGCCCCCACCTCCTCCTCCTCTACGATGATTACCGGTGGCCCATCCTCAGCCGCCGCCCACTCTAACGAGGACGCTCGCCTGTCTACCGAGTCGTCCCTCCCTCTCTTGCACTGTCCCAGTGACGGGACCCTCGGCAGGCTCTTTCGGCCGCGCGAACTGCCTCGCGAGGCCAAGCGAGTCCTCTCCGGGCCGGCAGCCGCCTGAGCCTGATCTTCGGCCCGAGCTTGGCTGCCAGCCCTGATGTGCGATCTGGTGCGACGCGCTGGTCCGCCCTTACTGCAGGGCGGATCAGGAAGAGTCCCGGAGGATTGCTCCTCGGGTCGCTCCCCCTCTTCGGCGTGGACCGCTACGTGGGTCCCAACAGGGTTGGTGGACAGCCCTGCTCCGTGCGTTGGTAGCTCGGTCGCCGGAGACGCAACTGCGTCCTCCTCTACACTTTTTTCCCCCCTAACCCCGGATTTTGTATGAGAAGAATTCATTTTTAGGTTGCCCCTTATTACCCGTAGGCTTACAGGGTGGACCGTGAAAAGTGGAGGAACTAGATACCCCCCAGGCGGAGCCCCAAGCCTGGGTTCGGGCTGAATACACTCAGGGTGTGCCAGGCGCCCCGGGGTGGACCGCTCATGACCGGCTAACCCGCCGGCCATTCATCCCATCGCCGCGGCTCCCAAGCTTAGGATTGGGGGGGTTTTTTTTATAGAGGTCCCCATCCTCGCAGCCCATGCGTTTAAGCCAAGGCCCTCGCTCCCCCAGAGGTACGTCATAGACATGACATAACATCGTAAACCAGGGATTTACGATGTGTACAGATCCGACGTTGTCGGACCTGCGCTGTAGGGGTCCTGGCAAATACCACGCAGACTCCTAGTGCTCTCCGTGCGCAGCTGCCCGCACGGGGAGGCCCTCACAGCCGGCCACACCGCGATATGCGGCAGTGACCAGCAGGAGTCGCAGGATTGCCGGGGTGCGGCACCTCTCCACTGAATGTGGGGGAGAGGGCAATGTACCGGTCCCGGCGTCCCGCCGGCCCGGAGTTGATCTCCGCGTAACTCCGACGGGATGGCCATCCCAGGGTGTGCGACCCCGACCTCGGAATATGTCCGAGCGGCCCACGCACCCCTCCACTCCCAGGTTGTCGGTAGCTACCGACGTGCAATCCCGGGTGTGGATTCCTCTCCCCACCCTACCAAGGCCGAGGCCCGAGTAGGGACGGATCGAAGGTGTCCTAGACTTTCAGCTGCCAGACCGGCGTGCAATGCCTCCTACTCATGTGGAACCTTCTCCTCCCCCGTAATGGGAAATTACCCGCCGCGGAGCGAAGGTCCCCCCTTCCCCGCCCCAAGACTGATGATGGAGCAAGCTCCACCTAACGGCCCCAGCCGGCCGGGCGATTGGAATCAGGGCCGCCAACCCCTACCGGCAATTGGGCCCATTGGCCCTGTGGGAGTTGTCGGGATCCCCTGCAGTGGAGGGTCTTACGTCTCCCTCTAGCAACCGCGGGGCTGCAGCCCACCGCGGTCCGGTTTCCTGTGGGGGTTTTCCTTCCCCGTTGCCACCGTTCGCCAGCGATCCTCAGGTAGGGGTCTCCCTTCCGGCCGAAGCCGAAAGATACTGCCGCCGAGCCTTCATCGGATCGCCGGTACCCCTCCGCCACGATAAGGTGGCGGCATGGAGGAGAAGGGATCACTAACAACTCTTTTTCTTTGTAATTTTTTCCTTCGTGTTAATTACTTCCCATTATTTATTTACTTAAACTGTTTTTTGTTCTTTATTTTTTTTTATTTTTGTTTTTTTTATTTTTTTTTATTTATGTTGAATAGAAGTACTCAACCAACGCTTCATGGATTCTTCAGCACTCTTCAGTGATTGATTTTGAAAACGACGCATTATGGCACCTAAACAGCAATGGAAAAAAATAAAAAAAGAACTTAATGTTTTGGCTTGTAGTTAATCATCACTGTCATATTTGTGATGTTAATGACAAAAAATCGCATATCTTTTTAGTAATTAACGATTTATTTGATTTATTAAAATAAATTAATTTCTTTGCATACTAATATTACTCGTGTTTGATAAGCTATATTAATAAAATACAGCAAAGATGTCTTTCTCTACTTTTCATCAAATATATCAATTTTGAATTCTATTAATTTAATTTTTTATTAAAATAGTTGAGTATTATATTATTGCATTTTCAACGGAAATAAATGTAATATTTGATTACGATTTGTAATTATGTATTAATGTACGAATCGAAAAAACAATTTTCATATTTATATTAAAATAATCTTTCTCTTGAACACAATATGTAAGTAAGTATGCAAATCAATTAATTTTTTTGTAATTTTCAAGAAAAAGAGGTGAAAATCTTATGTAATTTCTCGCTTCTCATAATTTAATACATGACAATGACTGATCAAGAGCCTTAATGTCTCAAAAATAAGAAAAAAAATTTAAAGAAATACTCACAAAATAAAGCCTCTTTAAGCCTTGTTCCGTAAAAAGAGATTTTCACTCGTTTAGTTCCTTTTCAGCTAGCTTGTCTTGCAAGCTCGTTGTGCAATATGACAGACATATGGCAAATAGCAGCATTCTACTGATCAGAATTATCAGGAATATATCCATTAAGATAATTGATCTTCAAAACACACAAAGAAATAAAAATTATATAAAAAGAGTTCATATCTTGTAAAAGATATGAATTAATATCCACAGAAGTTAGCACTTATAAACGGAGAAAATGCAACTTTATTCGTTAAAAATTTGTCGAATGCTTCAAAAGATTGTTCATCTCGTAATGAAAGGGGAAGACAATTTTTAGGCCTCTCTATGATATTAGCTTCGTCAAGAAATATTTTATTTAAAATGCGGCGTTGGTTCATTAGCATTATATCAAGTTTTGACACGTTTCGTAGCAAATCTCTATCAAGATTAGATACAATCGGTCCTGCAGAAATGAATTAATTATTAGAAAGTGTAACATATATAAATAAAATTATATAAATTAGAACAAAAAAGTCGTTACCATGAAGTTTCTTCAAACTGCTTAATGTTGTCGTTAGCAAATCACGATCTGCATTTGATAAACCTAATAAACGAAATATATATTAGGAAAATGTAATATGTAAAAACTACTCAAGAGTAAGATTATTGAAAAAATCATATTGCCTTGAAATGGTGATAAATTTAGAAATGCTTGATTTTCATTATCCACTGATAACGTCCTTATTTCTTCTTTTAAAAAGCCATCTTCATTTTTATCTGTTGGAGTGTGGCAGTGTATTGTAGTAAAAATCTCGTCGTGTTGATAGTTGTTTGTATTATCTAAATCAAAATTACAAATGTTTTCAATACTGATCGAATATGACAACATGATACGTAACGAAAAAGAAAAAAATTTAATTATTTAAAAAATTAATTTATAAAATTTTAACTTTATTTAAAGAGAGAAATTATAAAACTGAAAAAGAGAAGGAAATACAATCGGACAGAGACAAAGATATTATATTGCATCTGCAATATATTATTCTAATTTAAATGTAAGCACACTTAAAAAATTTTGGTGGGAAGAATGTATAATTAATGTACAATTAATTTACTTACAATTATCAAGAATTGGATGTGACTTCGCCTTGTCAATGTCCCTTGAAAAAGTATCTTATTTTCTTCCTAAGATATTGCGCTGCACGTGTAGAGACAGTGTGCTCACTGAAGATGATGAACTGTCTGATAATGTTGAAGGTTGTTCGTTATCATCCATACTCAATTTTTGATAAACTGTAACAGTCCACAAAATAAATTATATAAGAAACAGGAGAGATAGAATCATTAGTAATTTAAATGAAAAATTGTTATTATTTGGAAATTAATAAACTTACCATCAACATTATTATTAAAAAAATGAGGACTGTTTTTTTTATCTAAATGTTTACTAATTGTGTGTAATTTTTTGACAGGCTTGTCCTTCTTTGTTTGATGTGTGATCACTTCTGACATTTGTGTGCTGTAGTCTATATCAGTAATTTGCTCCACAAGTAAAATTACGAAAAATTATTATTATAATTTTCAAAACACAAAAATAGCCAGCGAAACAACATGATTATATATGTACAAACCTTTATTTGATAAAGAATGTTGCCTTATCAGATTTTTATCTAATTTGGTATTATAAATTAACTTATTTAAAGGGCTTAAAGATTTTACATGTGATTTACTACGGGAGAATAATTTTCCAACTGATGTGTTCTTTTGTTGATATGTAGCTAACGTTTTCATAGATTTATTTTTAAGCAGATGTTTTATTTTATTTGAAAGAAGAGAATCTGGTGCAGATACTTTACTGTGTATTATGTTTCTACCACGAGAAATCTTTGAAGGAGAAATGTTCATTTCTTCATCATCTGAAGATGATACAATATATTTCTTGTTCTTTTTTCTTTTTCTTGGTTGATCATAATCTGTTTCAACTTTTGTACGAGCAACTTCTCCCTCTAGAACAGTTTTAGCCGCTTTGAAAGCAGTATTGTAGGTATCTAAAAATGATACGTAAAAATATAACAAAATGAGTATAATCATAACAGATATAGAATGTTATATATAATACAACTTTTTTCTCAATAAAACAAAATGTAATCATATTAATTTTAAATATATTAGCACTGACAGAACTCAATATTCAAACATAAAATATGATAAAACATGTCCAAAAGTTACCAACTTACTATAATAATGATAAAATTGAAGATTATAAATATTCCAATCTTGTCCTGGATCTACTCTTGACATAACCAAACGGGTGGTTTTAAGCTTATCTTTTTTAGATGGATATTTGCACTTAGTATTATTATCAAACAACCATTTAGAAGAAATTACTTTTATTAATGTCTGTGATTTGTCACATGAATCTTCAAATTCTACAACTGCAAACTGAAAAGAAAAAAAAGCAGGTTATAAGACAATATGACTTGTAAAATAAAACAAAATAAAATAATAAAAATTGTTCTTACTGGCATTCTAATAATTGTAACAATGTACAAGAAGAATGCATACAAATAGTTCTTCATTATCAGGAAAAAGAATACATTTAGATAAAAATTGTTTAATTTTATAAACGGTTCTGTTATTTTGTAAACGAGAAACTTTTGTAATTCCAAGTTCAGAAGATGCGATAGGAAAATTATAATAATCTTCTTGTTTAAGAAACTTATACGAGGGCTGCTCCGCAAGTTTTGCGACTTGGCAACACTGGCGTTGCTAGGTAAAATCTAACCTTACCATCAAAAAGTTTGATAGTTTCGAAGATTTTTTTACTCGAAACGTTTTGTCATACGGAGGCTACTTGTATTGTTTACAGTGACTTGAAAATTGTGTCTCAGCGAAAAAATGGAATTAACACGAGAACACTTTCGTGCGATGATTTTTTACGACTTTCGACGTGGATTATCGACTTTCGACGTGGATGCAAGAATGCATCGATCAACTTGCTTCCACTTTTGGCAATGAAGCACCACAAAAGGCCACTATTTGTCGCTGGTTTAATGAATTCAATCGTGGTCGTAGTTCACTCACCGACAAACCTCGCGAAGGTCGTCCAAAATCAGTTGCTGTGCCAGAAAACATCAATGCTGTGCGTGAATTGATAATACAAGATCGACATGTGACATACCGTGAGATTCAGGCATCCTTGGGTGTTGGTATGAATTGCATACAAACGATATTGCATGAATATTTGGCCATAAAAAAAATTTTTTCACGTTGGATCCCGCATAATTTGACAATTGCTCAAAAAAAGGATCGTGTAAATTGGTGCAAAAAAATGCTGAAGAAATTCGATCGAGGTGCGTCAAATGCCGTATATAACCTCTACACAGGTGACGAGTCATGGATCTATGCATATGAGCCGGAAACTAAACAGCAGTCGACTGTGTGGGTCTTTCAAAGTGAACCTAACCCAACAAAAGTTGTTCGCGCTCGAAGCACTTCGAAACAAATGGTCGCCTGTTTTTTCGGAAAAACTGGTCATGTGGCAACAGTACCCTTAGAGAAACGTAGAACGGTCAATTCTGAGTGGTAAACAACCATTTGTTTGCCAGAAGTCTTCGGCCAAATAAGGAAAAACAACTCAAGACGACGAATCATTCTTCACCATGACAATGCGAGCTCTCACACATCGGCTCAAACAATCGCCTATTTGACCAGTGAAAACATCGAATTAATGGGTCATCCACCGTACAGTCCTGATTTGGCACCCAATGACTTCTTTTTGTTCTCGAACATCAAGAATAAACTGCGTAGTCAACGATTTTCGACGCCAGAAGAAGCGGTTGATGCGTTTAAAACACATGTTTTGGAGGTACCACTTTCGAAATGGCATGGATGCTATAATAAATGGTTTGAGCGAATGCAGAAGTGTATTGATCATCATGGAGAATACTTTGAAAAACAATAAAGCCATTTTCAATGACAAATTACCGTGTTTTCCTTACTAGTCGCAAAACTTACGGAGCAGCTCTCGTATCCCATTAGGAAAATCTGATTCTGAGATGTTCGAATGATATTGTCCAAGATTACGACATCCCCACATTTGGTTTTAAAACAGCTGTTTGCCTCGTTCTTGATAATAAGAGTAACACCATAAAAAATGAGTTTGAAACTGTTCTCCCTTGATATTGTCTTCTCCATTATATTGATTTTTCAACAAAATTGTATTGGACTCGTCAGTGTCTTTTTTTAGAACCAGCCGTCCTTTGGTTTCTGCATCACGTCTAATAAACTGATGCAAAGGCTTGTATGGAGATCTCAAATATCGTTTTATAATACCCATAAAATTTTCATATTTAAAAGCACTAAATAATTCCAAAGTTCCATAGTTTCGATATTCATCGACTAAATGAATTAGACAGTGAACATTATAAACAACAAAGCATTTACCAAAAATCTGAAAAGAATGTCTTATAAATTCTTTTAAAATTTCTTGCGCAACATTGAGCATAATTTCATCACGCACTAGAACTGGATTAGATAATATATATACAGGGTGTTCGGAAAGTAGCGGGACGCCCGAATATCAGGAAAAATATAAGTTTTACAAAAAAATGTTTCAGACAAAAGTTGTGGCGTTTAAAAAGATGTATTTACTGATCACATCAGTTTGACCTTGGGTTGCGTAGCGAAGGTCAGGTCAAGGTCACATTAATTTTTTTAAATGGAACACCCCATTTTTCATTGCATATTCTTATAGCACATCTCGAGAGCTTTCCAAAACGCTATAATAAAATATTTTTTCGTTAAGAACTTTTCGAGTAATAACACTTGAAATTTCCAGCACTTTGACATAGAATACAAAATATCTCGTAAAATATTCTTCTTTCGGTTATCTTGTCTTAATGCTTTTTTGCACAGAATAATGAGACAAATTAATTGGCTTAAAAAAAGCACAAAAAGATTTTTATATATTTATGTAAAAAATTTTTTGTTTTTTTTTTTTAAGCTAATTTAGGAATTGAGTAGAATAGTATAATAGATATCATGATATAACAGGCGATATCAAACCTAACCTATGAAAACTCCTATATGTGAATTCTTAATTGTTATCGTTATATGTTACAATTTTTCATTATATTTGTATCGCCTAACGACAACAATAATAGAATTGTGACACTACATGCTTTCCAAACAGCACAAAAGTTCCAGGGACGTTTATTTTGTGAATGTGGTATATGTGGACAACAGGCGATATACAATTTCGTTTATCATATCACAAATGTGAAACATTATCAAACATTTTAGAAACTATAACCAAGTATACTATACCAGTTGAATTTTGTAGAAAACCTAGATCGTTGATTTATTTAAAACAATGGAAAGCAATATAGAAGCAATATAGAAGCAATATAGAAGCAGAGTATAAGCAAATGTTATTATTGTAAGAGCTAGCGTATCCGTTTCTTTTCCGTTAACGTTTGAATACGCGCTCCTATGAATCTTTATTGTTTTAGCTGTAAGATAAGTCGCGGATAGCAGCCCTGCTATCACGTACTAAGCAACTTATCCCACGGTGCAGGTGACGAAACGTGATTAATGACTAATGATGAGAACACTTAATAAATGTTTATTATACCGTACAGATCCTTTGTTCCTTACACTTATTTCGCCAAGTCATACATGAGAAGTCTATCTTAACTCGTACACACACGCACGTGCCCGACCCGTGCTTCACGGTCGCACTAATAATACACAAAATAAGACTGTCCTCACTATCGTTATTCTACTAATGTTTCAACCAGACTAAATCTGAACAGATACGCGAACTACTTCCGTATCCACAGCGTTAATTCGCTTTAACTAAATGGGTTTATCCCTTGACCTTGAACCGACCCACAAAACCCGGAGCTCTTAGCTCTTTTCGCTACGCGAGACTCTCTCCGATCTTCTCCTGATCTGATCTCTCGCTGGTCTCTTTCTGGTCTCTCTCGCCTTCGTCTCTAACTATCTATTTGAACTATCGGCGCGAAGGAGAGGGAACCTCAGTTCTCGCTACGACATGAGGCTTTAATCTAACAACGTTAGATGGCGCTACTTATTCTAATTTCTTACATTATATACTGGTCCCGTTATATTAAAAGAAATACTTCCGAATGATTTATACGAACATTTCTTAACACTTCATATAGCTACTAGAATTGTATGTTGTACTGATTTGTGTAAGACATTTTTAGGTTATGCCGAGCAATTATTTAACCATTATGTGAAAACATTTAAAATTCTGTACGGAGAACATCATGTATCTCATAATGTATATGGGATAATTCATTTATGTGAAGATGTTCGAATACATGGTATTTTAGATTTATTTAATGCTTTTAAATATGAGAATTTTTTACAAGAAATAAAAAAAGTTATTCGTAAAAGTGATAAACCACTACAGCAATTGCACAGAAAATTTAGAGAAAAAAATGCTATTACATGTACTGTTAAGAGCAAAGAAAACGAAAATAAAATGGGAGCACTAAAGGAACACAATAATGGTCCTATTACTTATGATTGCACAAGTCCTGAGTATAAAATGTTAATTTTTTCATGTTTTGTTATAAAAGTTAATGATAACGTAAATAATTGTTGTCTTATGAGGGATGGAAATATAATAAAAATTGAAAACATTGCTAAATATAAAAACAGGAAATGCTTGGTTGCTATTAGTAGAAAATATTTAATTAAAGAAGATTTATTTCATATTCCATGTCCATCATCGTTACTTGATATTTATGTAGTTAGTCGTATGTCTCAATTATGTATTTGGTCTATATCGGATATTTTAAAGAAAATGTTAATAATGCCACATATGAACAATACATTTGTAGTTATACCATTACTGCATATTGACTAAAAAGTATATATTATAAGTATAATAAATGTATAGCGTGTTACTATATATTATATATAAGTATATAATATATATTGAATTACAAGTATAAATTATCAATATCATTAATTTATTAAATATAGTATATATAAAATAAGAACTTCAATAACAATCATTATGAGCAAGAAGTATCATATTGTCGAATTTGATGATGGCCTTCAAATCATACCAGATAATTGGTTTACTAGTGGAGAAAAGACTGCGTTATATTGGCCAAATGTTTCCAATGAAAACGAGTATAATAAAGCAGTCGAAAAAATGAAAGACTTTAATAGAAATAATGTAACAATAGTTCCTGTTAAAAGAATATTTGGAAGTACAAGTAAGTCAAAACTTTTGCCTATTAAAATTCTGTATCAAATTGTGTCCTACTAAATATACAATGGAAAGTATTGTAATCTTTATGTAGTATTTTTGTTTGCAGATACTTTTGGTAATGCTAAAAATAAGTTAAAATTGACAGAAAAGTTGTCAGATGTAAATTCTGATGAAGACAATAATGTTGCTAAACGAAAAAGAAGATTATATGCACAGAAAGTTATTTCTTCAAGTAGTGAAGAGGAACCTACACAGCCTCCGAAGAATGAAAAAATAGATAAATATCCTGATGTACCACAAAATATGAAACATTCAAAATCATATAATGCTACACTAAATGATATAAATAATAGATCAGAAAAGTTTAATAATAAAATACAAGACATATACGATGATAATTATGAATCTATTTCAAATATTCAACAAATAAGTGGTAAATTATTGCATTTATGATACAATATAAAGCATGATTCCAAGAAATAATCTTTAATTATATGTGAATAAAGTTAATAATAAAATAGTTTTAATTACATATGTACAGTCATGGACAAGTGTATTGTCCGACTTTTTCTGATAAGTTTTGGGATTGAACAGAATCGCCCAATGAGAGAACGAATTTTTGAAAGATAAAGACTTTCACATTGAGCCATTTAGCGACGTTCTGAAACTTATTAAAAAAAGTAGGACAATACACCTGTCCACGACTGTACAAAATAGATTTTATGTCAATATAAAAAGTAAAACTATTTTCATTTGAGACGTAAAATGCATACGTGTAACTTACGCTAACCAATCAATTATATCTATTACTATTTACTTATTATAGCTCAGACGATTAATTGGCTGATGCAAGTTACGCGTACGTATCTTATGTTCCATGTGAAAGCAGCCTAAATGTTACAATGTCTTTCGAACTTCTTTTTTGAACTTCTCAATGAATTCCATTAAAGTGCATATAGACAAAAGATCAAAATAGTTAAACATGTACTTTTTATTTCGACATTAAATTGATTTAAATTCATTATTATTGCACTGTAACAACTTTGTGTTAGTTCTTGCCCTGGCAGCACACGATCTCCCACGAATGTTTTGAGAATATTTCTGGCACATTGAGATGTACTCAAAATATCTTTAGAACATTCCCGGGATATCTGTGCTGTTAAGGTGAAGGTTCTGTATAAAAACAATTTCGTTTTCTTGAATTTTATAATCCAATTTAATGTTGTAATCGCAGATACACGAATACTTGCTGAGAGAAATTGCAATACAGTACAGAATCGTTATCAAAAACAAATTATTTCACACTCACTTCGTAATGAAAACAAAAATACAAGTAAGAAAACGTTTTATATAATTTATAAAACAGATGTATAAATAATTATTTATATTGCTTCCTCTTGGATACTTAATGAAAGGCATTTGTATATATTTGCTGATAAAAAAATGTGCCAGACCAAATTTTCATAGTGTGGAAAAGCACCCTTAATAGCACAGATATTCTAGGCACAGATGTTCTGAGGACATTCCGAGTACG